ACGTCAAGAATCACACGTTCAATTGTGCCACCCAGACGCCCCGAGGAACAGAGATTCTTAATTTTTTTTTTTTAAAGATTTTATTTATTTATTTGAGAGAGAATGAGAGAGAGCACGAGAGGGAAGAGGGTCAGAGGGAGAAGCAGACCCCCTGCTGAGCAGGGAGCCCGACGTGGGACTCGATCCCGGGACTCCAGGATCATGACCTGAGCTGAAGGCAGTCGCTTAACCAACTGAGCCACCCAGGCGCCCCAGAGATTCTTAATTTTAATGCAGTCGGATTAGACCTCTCCTGTACGGAGTTACGTTTTGTGTTCTAGCTTTTTCTTTGCCACCAGAAAGCTCCTGTTACATCTTGTCTTGTGAAAGTTTTATGGTTTTCCCTTTGGTATATGTGTTGAAGCCCCTGAAATTGATTGGTGTGCAGTGTGAGGCTCTGCCCACACCCCAGGCTAAAACCATTGGCTGCATCGATTGTTGGCAGGTTCTTTCACCACTGATGCTCAGGGTTGGTTATACTAGGAAATTACATCTCCAGGTGTGTGTTGGTCTGTTTCTGACCTTAATGTGTTTTATTAGTTGGCTTTTCTTATCCCTAAACTAGCATCACATTGTTTTCATTTTTATTTTTATGATGAACTGTATCAAATGCAAAGGTGCAAATCAGAAGTAAGACTGAGTCTACCCACCACTTGCCCTGTTTCCATGTTTGATGTCCCTGGTTTCTGATCTCACGGTAACCAGAAATGCTGGCTGTCAGCCTTACTTCTTTGTTACGACCGAGGATAGCAACGACCTGTGGTCTTCAGATTATTTGTTTCCCCCCATCTTGTTGTGTCTAACCTGCTTATGTTTTGTTAATAATCCCGTCCTTGTCTCCCGGCCTCGCCCTTCCTCCCATCTGCTCCGTGGCCCTGCTTCCCACCGTTGTTCATAGACCACATCTCGGTCTGCTGAGACTGTGTGCTTTCCTGCCTGTACTTCATCCGGACGCTTGTCCTGGGTGCCCCCGCTGTGCCCGGCGTTCACTCTGCTCTTTGCATTGGTTCTTGCGCGGGTGTGACCTTGTCCTGGGGATCTCTTACCCACACGGTTTCGCAGTCAGAGAGGAGTTGGACGACGACAGAGAATTGCAGATACTGAAGCCAAGGGTACACATGATTTCATCTCATAAGTAGTACTTCATAAATTTAAGAAATAACCAAGAATTTTATTATATTTACCTTGATAGTGTATTGCAAATTAGTTAAATAAATAAAATACATACTAATGAGGGGCCACAAACAAATTTTGTAAGGGATTATATATTCTCTCCTTTGCTAGTGGGATTAGAGTTAGTTTATATTGGATCATAACATACGCAGGTGTTTAAAGTATACTTCTCAAGAGTAAAGTGCACTCATCAAAAAGATGGAGGCAGAAAATAATGTTGATTCAAAATACCTCATTGTATGGAATAGATTAGTTGAAAATATGATCTGTGAATGTGACACTGAACTGAGAACTTCCAGTTAAAGAGTAAGGAAGCAATAATTGGAAAGTCAGTAACAGAACATCCTTCTCACGTGTTGCTTGTCCGCCAGCTCCGTGGTGATGGCCCGCACTGCTGCAGAGCACGTGGCAGCTGGAGTCCTTGACAGAGCAGAATTTTAAATAAAATTAATACACCAATTTTGTGAATGATTCGTTGTCCTTCCAATTTAGCTCAGGCTTTTGTGTAAAAAATGATCGACCTTGAAGTGTATGTGTCTTTCGTTGATAAGAACTGAATAAAGGAATTAGTATTTTGTTGTCAGTTTGAAGCTCATCAGGAGGATCCTTTGGCTCACCTGTGGGCAGAGATGGACATTCCTTGGGAAACACTGATTAATGTGTATTGAGGCAGACTTGTTAGACCACCATGCAAGTACCCAGTCCCACCTGTTGTGTGTTAAAAATGATTAGTCGTTTCCCCCTTTGTTCCTGTAGCTCTTCTCTGGGCTGCATCTCCCCATCCCTCGGGAAGTGTTTGAGTGCCGGCTGGGAGGGGGCTAGCTTCCACGCCCGGGCTCTGGAACGCGTCTCCTCCTTGCTCCGCCACGTGCTGGGACGAGGCCCATCTCCTCTCGTGAAGCAGTTGCTCTTCAAACAGATGCCTCCTCTCCCCCCACAAGCCTGGCAGCCTCAGAGCCCTTAACTCGCAGTCACTGATGAGTGTTTTCTTACTCTTGTTATCTACAGTACGTTGCCATGATAAGCACCTGGGCCCAATCATCTATCTGGATTAACTAAGAGTGAAATCATTTGAAAATTGGACTTTAAAAAATTCACATTGAAATCCATGACTTAACTCATGTCTTCTAAAAGCAGGTCTGTGTTGTACTCGTCCACCGATGCACGGAGCTTGGTAACGCTGCTGTCGGGTTGAGGTGCCTGTGTGATCTTCACATGCCCTTGTCCTTACATAGTTGTCATGCATGAGGCTAGGCCACAGAAACCCGGTGCCTTGCCGCAGGTATAGCCAGGCTGTCCTGTCACTCAGACTCTTCGTAAAGGCTGGTTCTCTTGATGACTCGTCAACGTGCTGTTTCTGTGTGTCCTCAGTAGCTTTAATCATGCCATAGGATGTAGATGTGAAATAAAACTCCTGAGGTTCAACAAAAATAGATTTAAAATTGTTTTAAAAAATCTACATCCAAATCCATGACTTGTGTTTTCTAAAAATGGAAGTATTACTATTCAAAAACTTGATCCAGACTTTATTTAGTTCACTTTTTAAAAAACTGTGGTAAAAAAACATGAGGGTTTGCCCTCTTCCCAGTTCTTATGTGCACATTGCAGTATTGCCCATATGCACACTGGTGTACAACAGACCCCTCGAACGTCTTCCTCCTGCCTGACGGGAGCACTCTGCCCGCTGGAGGACAGCTCTCCAGTCCCTCCCCCACGCCCTGAGTCTAGGAGTTCGTCTCCTTATTTCACTTTTCCTTGGTATTTATACCTCATCCTCCATAAAGACCTTAACAGCCTTATCTGTCTTCTCATTCAGGTGTGGGGTGGGAGGAAGAGAGGACCTGGGGTAGAAGCGAATCCTCCCATCCCACAGATCAGCAGCAGGACCACATTCTGGGCCACCAGACAGGAAGACTCTATCTTACTATTCTGCGTTAAGGCTAGAGGGATTATTTTAGTTCTCTACTGCTGTGTTGCAAATTGTCTAAAATCCTGTGGCTTAAAACAACATTTTTAAAAAAAGATTTTATTTATTTGAGAGAAAGCGAAAAGCACAAGCGGGGTGAGGGGTGTATATTCTCTCCACTGCTTAGTTGAGACCATGTGTGGTGTAAGTGATGATCCCAAGCGGACTGCATCCTTGGTGGGTTTCATGCTCGGGTCACTGAAGGCTTAGCCCCCGCATCTCACCCAGGCTTCTGAACATCAAGGCTCCTGCCATGTTAAGCCTTTCTGACCTCCTGAAACACTCCACCATATCTGCTGCAGGGCTGTTGAACTGCAACCCCCTGATACCGGCAGCCTGCCCAACCTTGTTAGCCGTCTCCAGTAAGTCCCAGAACATTAGATTAAGTTTGAAAAACACAACTATTTTAGAAGAAAAGAAGGGAGAATATCAAGGTAGAGAAGGACTTGTTAGGCACAGAAAACACCTTGAGAAGGGAAAAATCAATAAATTTGTGTCAAAACCGAAAACTTAAATATTATGACGAGACAATAAACTTAAAAACAAGCAGCAGACTGGGAAAAGATTGTCTATCTGGTGTTCAGGATTTGTATCTAGAATCTCCACCAGCTTGTGTCAATCAGTGGGAAAACAAGCAGTACAAAGGAAAATGATCTGCCTAGGTAATGTGAAAAATAACTGCATTTGTAATCAGAAATACGAAGGTACAGGGAGGTAGCATCACATTGACTGGATTGTCAAAAATCAAAATGAGAAACCCAAATGTTGGTGAGGATTTGGGGAAACGGTGTCCTTGAAGTACGGGATGAGTGAAGGCGCGTCAGCGTTGCAGAGCAGGTTGGCGATATGTGGTCTGAACCGCGCACCCCCCCCCGCCCCCACGAGGTCGGGCTGTGGTTGGAGACAGGCTGGCTCATGTACACTGCTTGCAGCGCTGTGTGTAATTTTTAAAAGGCCCCTCAGCAGGATTGATCAGTTATGATTGATACAGTGGAATATTACCCAGCAACTAAATGCGTGTGTAGTATAGACTTAGTTATATGTAACCAGGTGGTTAAATTTAAAAAAACAGTCTTGAGTAGGAAAAGCAATTTGCAAAAAAGAAAAAACAGCATCGAGTAGGGTACTGTTCATGTGAGTTAAAAAGTACAACCTACTCGCTATGTGGTAAAGAACTTTTTTAAAAGCAGGGACTTGAAGAAATACGTAAAATTCATAAAATTTGCAGTGGTCCTTAACTTTGGGAGGAAGAGGGCACTGGGAAACAGAGGGCTTTGCCTTTTCCCCTTAACTGTCTGCTTTGGAGCACATTTGGCTCATCTTCTTTCCTCCCCGCAGGAGAGTAAACGGATCGGGAGAGTGGGAACTGCCTTTTGGCCGCATCCACAGCTTAATGTAGTTTTGACTCGTAGTCTGTGTGGTTTGACACTGTTGACAACCTTCTGGAGGCGTCTTCCGTTCTCACCCATGCGAGCTAGGGCTCTGTCTCTGTTGCTGCTCCTTGTCTGCCTCTTTATCGCTGCCGCTCTTCTGTCCTCACTCCCGTCCCCAACTGCGGGGACAAAGCATGACGACGCTCTGCAAACAGAAGCTTCTCCGTGTGAGCAAAAGTTCTGTTCCCGGAGGTGACCACTGACACACAGTAGCTTCATCTTCAGAAATCAGACTCCTCACAGCACTCATGCTTAAGTAATGCACGTATCTGTGTATATAGTAACATGGGCAGAGACATAGAGTACTTTCTAAAATTTTAACATGGACTTTGCTAGTTCAATAGGATTTGTGTATATCGATGTGATAATACAGGTCTGCTTTCTAACAGTTGCGGATCATTAAGGATGAAGGTTTGTATTTTGAAGTGGGAGCTGACACCAAGAACAGGTGACCCTGAGCACATTTCAGTTCTTGTTAATGATTTTGGTTCATTTCCTGCCATTTGCACAGGTGGTGTTGTCGTATGTGGTACGCCGCTGACGCAGGACCCTGTTGCTCTAGCCAGTCAGACACGGCTGATGCAGAATGGCCCTGCCGAGACAGGGGGTACCCAGAGTAGAGACAGAGGTTCACTTAGAAGGGCCAGGGACAACCTCTTACGCAGTTGCCACATTTCAGGGCAGAAGGAAGAAGCAAACCTGTGGGCTGGTGGGTCACAGGAGGGGAGCCAGAATGTGTGAGGTGCTTTGGGCCTCAGAAAAGAAGTGGCTGTGGATGGTCACGGGTGCCCCGGCGCGGAAGAAGAGTGGGCTAGTGGTGGGGTGCTGCCGCCTCGAGGGGCGCCGGGGGCATCTGTGTGGAAGGTATGGGAAGCGCCCCCACACGCAGGGACTGCTCTCGGTGAAGAACGGTTGAAATTACTGGAACATTTATTCCTGAGTGAGGAATTACTTTTGTTGTTATCCTTAACATCAAAAGTGTTTTTTACTTGGAAGTATGCTTGCCTGATACATATTTTTTTTTAGACTTTAAAAAAAATTGAGTTGTGTAGCCACATAGGAAATTGATTTGATTCTAGTTTTAGAAATAAATGGACCAAGATACTGATGTCCTTTAGAGATGAACCATCTCCAGATTTGTAGGTTAAAAATTGGGAATAATACGAAGTTTAGAGGTAAAAAAAACAGATACTTAAAGTTATTTCATAAAGACATACAATTGATATAATTTCAATTAATGTCAAATGTATGTGATTTTAATAACAGGTAGATGTAGTTTAAGTTGTAAATGGGACACACTTACAAAACATAAATGACTGTCAGAGGTCAGGACCATCAATTTAAATAAATAGGGTGTGACCAGGAAATTCAGTTGCACATTTATCTTTCTAGAGAAAAGACTGACAGACTTGCTTTTTCTGTCCTGAGGCTTTTTCCCTGTTTAGAATACGTTTTGTTCATGGGAGAAAACAGATTTTTCTATTCCTGCTGAAAAGTTAGTGCTATTTAAAGCTGGGTTGCCTGATTTTAGGTGTTTAATGACTGAGCAGTCAGTCCCCTCTGGAGTATTTTTCTTTTTAAAACTTTACACAGACACAGTTTTTAAAGTGATTGTTTCATGGCCCTGAAATTTCTTGTTTGTGTCCTCGGGGAATGATTATAGAATCTCTGTACCCAGCTCTATTTCAGCCCTGAGAGCTTAAATGGCCAGGGACTAATTTGGGTGTGGTTGGTGTAGTCTTTGGAAGAACATTCAAGTAACATCACCTAAAAATTATATAATGCCTATTCTGTAATGATGTGTCTTTGTTTCAGTAATGTCTTTAGATTTTCCACCGAAACATCCGTGCGCATTTCTGGCGCGCTCCTGGCTTTGCCAGCGGCCGAGAGCGTTGACCAGCACAACCCCTTTGGAAGGAAATGGAGCAGTCATTCTGCCTCTCAGGCGCTATTTTGGGGAGGTGGTCCATGTCAGGGAAATGGGCACATGCAGGGCCACATGTGGGTAGGCCCACAGCTTGCTTTCTACCCACAACAGAGCTTTGGTATGGTTGAATTTGGGTGATGGTGAGGTTGATAAATTCGTTCGGGCCTTTAGAAGACACACTCTGGTGTGACTTAAATATTTGTTCTAACTCTGAGCATGCCTGGCTTCTTTGTTAGGAGCTTAACATTATGTCCTTTGACTCTCCAGTCATCTTCTGTTCAGGTTCTTTGTGCCCAGCACTGTGCCTGGCAGACAGAACAGGTGTGTGAGTTTCTGGAACACCTGGACCTGATAGAAGAACAGGATTCTCCTCCCTGCTCCTCTCCCTGCTCCCCTGTGTACTCAGAGCACACAATAATAACAGTTCTGAAGGGAAGTCCAATCATTAACTTAGACTTTTTTGTGTGTGATTTTTGTTTTTTTGTTTGTTTGTTTTGTTTTTTTTTGACAGAGGGAGCCACAGCAAGAGAGGGAACACAAGCAGGGGGAGTGGGACAGGGAGGAGCAGGCTTCCTGCGGAGCAGGGAGCCCAACGCGGGGCTCGATCCCAGGACCCTGAGCCAAAGGCAGAGCTTAATGACTGAGCGACTCTGGCTCCCCTAACTTAGACTTTTTTTGAACTTGAACCTAGTGTTTTTCTCACTTTTTGAGCAAGAAACCCTGCCCCTTATTAGCTGTGCCACCTCATCTCACTTTCTCTCTACAATGGGGGGAAATGCCTTCGTGTGGTGCTTGTGAACACTGCATGAGACAAGTTTGTAAACTTGCTCGGCACATAGTAAGTGCTGGATAAGATAGCAGTTGTTTTTGTTTAGATGGGTTCTTGACTTCTAGGCTGACTGAGGGCATGAGACCGGCCAGATGCAAAGTAATAGAAGTACCTGTACTTGGAGTAGAGGGTCCGTTGGGGGCAGCTTCACATAGAAAATGGGTTTGGACCGAACCTATAGGGTTGGATAAAATTCAATAAGTTGGGAAGTATGGCAGTCTTAACGTTGTTTCTCTGAATATCCTTAAATACTTAATGAATTTCCAAATCATTTGACTTGTAAGCAGTTCTTCTCTTTTTGACTCTAGATGCAATGTAAGTTGACAGACATTTGGGATATTGAAAACAATGTAAAGTAGGGAAGTACAAGAGAACTTTCTGCGCTGATAGGTAGAAATGTTCTACATCTGTACTGTCCAGTATGGTAGTGACTAGCCATATTGAGCACCTGAACTAAATTGTAAATTTTATTTACTATAATTCAAATTTGAAATAAAATGGGCCTATGTGGCTACCATGTTGGATGAGCACAAAAGCTCATTGCATGAGCTTAAAACAAAAATTAAGAACTTGTTTCCAAAGAAATAGAATACAAATAAAAATTTCTAATCAATTAATCCTCTTGTAAATTCATTATGTAATGCTGTTTGTTTTGTCGCAGGTCTCCAATTGAGAAACATGGCACTGTTTTTCCTGCACTCTACCCACCTATTGCTGGACTTCTGTTGTAACAAGTTGGCGGACACTGGCTGGAGCTGGGCTGCAATAGAACATGCCAGTATCAGAGCTGACAAGAGCCTAACAAGTGCCAACTTACAGAGGATTACGCATTTTGAATTCTAATGAACTGTTTTAACCTTCAGGAAGAATTGTAAAGACCTGTACATAGCACAACATGATCCGGATAATATATATACTATTCATGTACATCCACAAATACACCTTGTACCAAATAATGCTTTCTTGTAGTAGAATAAGAATCGTGTAAATTCTAAAAGATTTTAGCAGGTTTTCTTTCCCTATTCATTGTTTCTTATCAGTTTTAAAAGATTCCTTAAAGCATGTCAGATGAAAAACAATTAGGATTAAAAGTTTCCATTTAATTTCCTTTAAACCATTGAGGCTTCATTAAACTCTTTTCACTTACTAAACTTTTGTATCTTCTTTGTTTTGACACACTCCCCTTTGCTTTCCTCTCTTCTCTCTGCCAGAAAATTTTCAAATCATTTAGTTCCAATACTGAAATACCTAATAAGCAACTACTTGATTTTTAACGATGACTTCAGAGGAGTGGTCATCACTAGGTGCTTGCCGTTTTGTATTCTAGTTGCACCATCTCTTGAATCGGGTGTAGCAATACCACATTTTGGCTGTTGAGAGCTCTTGAACTCAGTAACCCCTGAGAACTAAAAAGAGTTGGTTCAGAATTCAACTTACTGAAACTTGCCCCAGACAGTACAAAATTCTGGTTTGGTTTTGCTTTTGCCTTCCCGTTCGTTCCTGGGCGATCAGGTTGGATGGATTAGTGTGCACAGCTGCAGGCTTTCTGCTTAACTTGTGGGTTTGCTCTTACAGACGTTGTTGACCTCCCACCCCTTTCTCCGTGGCCCTCCGTATTTCTTTGCCTCTGTTCTTCTATATTGCAGATTTTTCTCACTTATTGTACAAAGAAATTGCGATGTATATTTTCATGTAATTTGATTTTGGAATTCTGTCACCTTATGTAGTGAGTTCTTCCAAAATATAATTTTTTTCCAATAATTGTCAAGTTGTTGGCTTTTATTGTATTGAATGAAGGTTATAATACTGAATGCCAGAGAAGTGCAGTTTAGAAAAATCTCAGGTTGATTCCTTATGCAAACAGACTTAATACTTGAAAATCCCATGGCCATGGCAGTGTATGTATTGGGCTCTATCTAGGTTCTTATGTGGATCTCAAAGCATTACAGGGGTGTGAATGCTTTGCTATTTGACATATAGATTCTGTCACTGACATAGTGCACTTGGATTTTATTAGTGTTTGAGCATGAGTATATTTCATATCATGTTTTCTAAAACAGCTTCAGGAAATGACGAAGTGAACGTGTGCAGTGTTAATGGCAGGCCCGGGTTCCCCTATGTTGGATGTGAGGTTGGGATTGGGAAGTGTAGTAGTTGGCCTGTAAGGGACAGAAACGGAGACAGTACCAGATGGGACATGATTCTGTGAGGATTGGCGTGTCTCTGCTCTGTGGGGCTTGGAGAGATGCTTTGGCAGAGAGTGAAAGGGTCCCTACAAGTAACCCATCCTGTGGACTCTGCATATCCTTCTTTAAGCAAAAGTAAAATGGTTGAGGATGTAGACACAGTAGAGAGTGATTTTTCTAAATCCTTGTCTGTTCTTTACTCTGAAGCATTATAAAAACCCATAAATGTGTAATGACTGAATGTGAAAATTGTTTGATTTGATTCATCGCAGCTGGTTTTCTTCAAGAACTTCATTTGTGACTTTTTTTTTTTTATTCAAAGACTGTAAAAGTTGTTGCCCCAAAGTGCTGGTACTGCATACCTGCCTGGGATTTGAATGCAATCCCTTTTACTCTTAAATCAGAAACTGTTCACATGGTTGCTGGTGGCAGAACGGAGACTGGATTTTGCTCTCCTCTTGCTGTGATTCTGCTAGTGATCTGTTGAGTTAAAACCCGGGATTTGACTCTTCAGGGAGCAGCAAATGACCTACTAACTCAGGGACAACTCTTACTGAACTCTAAGTGCCACTTTCATGCAGGTACTTCGGTGTGACCATGTGTGTTTTGGGGCTTGATCTAGGGGAGTCGAAGGGAGAGCCAGGAACCAGTGCCCCTCCCTTCATGCTCCTTTCCACCTGGCGCCCTGGCGTGCTACATGTGGACACACAGGCCTCGGGAGGTGATGTGACCTGTTCTCCTCTGCCAGGGGCGTCACCTGTGCCTTTCCCCGTGTTCATCTGACAGTGTGAACTCCACGCCTCCATGTTTGATACTAAACCACTCTCAGGTGACACTGATCCAGGTGGCTTTTGTCCCACCAGTGCCTCATCACTAGTGTGAGGTGAGTCCTCTCTGCTTTAGGAAAAGGATTTTTCTCCCTAACTCTGTGCCAACTATCAACAACATCTATACAGTCTTATGGGTTTTAGAATTGTTGGCTGTTTCCTAAATGGATTCCAAGTTCTTGTAAAGGCTTATAGATTTCAGTCTGTGCTCATAATGGGATGGATGATCTCAGTGGCTTTCTGGCCTCTTTTCTGTGAGTTTAAAATCCACGTGAGATTGGTTTCCTTGTCATTACAAGGCGGTCTCTTTATGAGGCGATTCCACTGGTTCTCTGATCACTTGGGTGTCCTGGTATCTTTAATGGCCTTCATTCTCGGTTGTGAAATTTTATTCTATATGCTCACTCACCCTCTACAAATCTGCACATTTTGGGTTGTGGTGCCTGTGTATCTATTTTTGCCTGTCTGGTCTCCAGTTGGTGGAATTACCTTCTTTGTACCTGCCACTTCTCAGCATCTTTGAAATTTGACATAATGTTGCTTCATTCCAGCTTTTTTTAGTTCTGTAACTTGTTGATTGTATTTAACTATGTGAGTTCTGTTGTGATGTTTGCTGTATTGTAAAGCACCTCCATCATGTGGTTGGTGCTCTGTAAATCAATAAATGATGACTTAGAGGCTGTATCACGGAGCTATTTTGGTTTTAGGATGCAGGTCTCAAAAGCAAGTCGTGGGATTATTTCTAAACAGCACATGATACCAAGAGGTCCACAGGGGAATCTTGATAACGAATTCTTAAAACTTCATTTAAAGAAGGAACCAGAGGGTGGGAGATTGACTTCCAATCTGTTGTAACAGTCTTAAAATTTCCAGTATGGGGCCAAGCACTTTTCCTCACTAGGGTTGTGTGCCTGCTGACTTAGGGCATTTTTGGGGATTTTGTCTTCGGCCTGAACTGGCTCTACCACAGACATAGTAAGCTGGAAGGTGAAGAACCCAGACTTGAAGGTGAACTGGAAGAGACCACAGGCACCATCTCAAGCACCACCCTCCCTCCCTCCACACAGATGGGCAAACGTGGCCTAAATACCTGCCCAGGATCACTTAGTAAGTTAGCGGCAAAAAGAGGCAAGACTGAGTACTTTTTCTTTCTTTTTTTTTTTCCCTTAATAGGATGTCACTGCCTAGCCTTCCACCATGTGGATTTACAACTGTGAGGGGGTGTTTGCTGGGACATACGCTGCCTGTGGCTGTGAAGGTCTCCTCCTTCCAGAGAAAAGAACAAGAAGCCAGATCTCTAATCAGAACCGAGTTACAGACAAGAAGAAAATCCTTGAGAGCAGATGGGAGGTCATTATCAAAATTTGATTTTCCTGATAAATACATTTGAAATAATTATAAAAGGGTCCAGATGATGTCCCTGAACATTAGATACCAGTTTTATGCACAATTATCTGCCCAAGGTTATAACAAACAAGCTGCTTCAAATGCGAAGAAACGGGTGGTGGACTAGGTGTACTGTGTGCAAGGCTCTGGGCTTTAAAGAAGGACCCAATGATTTTCTCCCTAACCTTCATAAGGACAGGCCTTTCCAGAGGACTGCAAACCCCAGCAGGAATTCAGTTTGCAGAGCAAACTATTTCCGGGATAAGGCATTTTTGGTTGCTCAGTTTCAGATGTGTGTAACAGGACTTCCAAGGTAGGGTTAGGGTTTATGGTTTGGTTTTGTTTCATTGAACCAGCATGCCCCCCAGAGCTGTAGTGAAATGATAAAAAATTTTGAATTCTATTCACACAGATGGAATAAATCAAAGGAGAAGGAAAAGACTTTCACAAAAAGCAGACACATCTTAGACCTAGGAGCTGCACAGAAAGTCCTAGGCAAAATACTTGGTTTTTCTCCCTTCCCAGCACTATCTCATTAGGAATAAGCATGATCACGCTGTGGGTTCCTTAGGAGCCCCGGAAATCCTATTCCTATTTATCCAGCTTCTACTTTGTGGCAGGCTTGTACAGGTGTGTCTCATAAAGGATGTAGTCCCATTCTTACAAGGATCCTCCAAAGTAATGGTTTCTCATAAGGAAACAGGTTCAGGTCAGTGTGTCAAAACTGTATAGCGAGTAAGTTTCACGGCCGGGATTCAGTTCCACGGCCTCACTTACATAGTGGGTGCTGCTACCCCTTACTTCAGGGACGGTTTCCCCAAAGTCAGAGCGTGCGTATGTTGGGGCTGGTACCTGAACCCAATTCACTGGACTACCAGTCTAGTGATTCCCTCCCTTCCCCTTTCTACCACGACATGGTGCTCCACCCCCAGGAAGAGCCTGTTCCCTTGTGCCCTTAAGGCAGTCAGCATTACCATTCACGCACCTCATGCTCCCTGTCCTGGATAACTCCACACCAAGTTCCTCTTCATCTGAGCAAAACCCGAACCAGGTCTACACTGAGCTCTGTTGTAGTGCTCAGATTTTTCAAACTGTCTCTATTTCCGGTCGTATCTAATGTTGGGATCTCCACTGAAGCCTGCTGGGTGTTGGAGTTAGTTCGCCCAGTACTAGCGATGCTTTGTGTCACAGGCCCTATTAAGAAGGCCTCTCTGTAGCTCAGGGTTTTCAAACCAGTTAAGAGTACACTCAGAAGACAAGAGCCCAGGATCGGGTTCTATCCCGAGCCCTTCTAAGAGGACTGCACTTGCATCTGAGGGAGGTTGTGATGAGGAGGTACTTGAGCCCTTCAGTGAGTTTCCATTTGACTGTGGGCATCTAGTCCAAGCAAGCTGGAAGGGCACAAATTTGTTTCTTCCTGCATGTGTCCTGCTGTCCCTGGTCT